CAAATTTTGCTCCCTTCGAACTGGTTTTCTTTAAAATACAAATCTTTGTAATCCCACGTATGCTATCTGTAATCAGAAGCACATTTATAACTGGAATATAATTTAATTTCATTCACGTGTTTCATAAAAACATAATCCTTTATGGATTACAATCTCCCATCAAAATGAAACATTTAATTATTCTGGCTGCTGTGAGAAAAGGCTATAAACGATTGACCACCTGCAGGATCCGCACATGCGATAGCCTAGTAGCTGGGACAACTTCTTTATGTTTACAGACATGACGTAATGACGCAGTGCCATGCTCGAATTTCCCGCGAAAACCTACCCGTACCACTCAAATTAGAAAACATTATTATAAACTAACCGTTGTGAATCGGGCTAAAGTAAGGCGATAATTTTGAACACTGGCTGGTTATGTACTTGCTCAAATATTGATTTCGGATCATTTTTAACCAAAAAAAGTTACGGACTGCAGCTTTATTTTAGTTTACAATATGTATTAACGTTAAGAAGAAAATGTTATATATATACAGTGGGGCAAAAAAGTATTTAGTCAGCCACCAATTGTGCAAGTTCTCCCACTTAAAAAGATGAGAGAGGCCTGTAATTTTCATCATAGGTATACCTCAACTATGAGAGACAAAATGAGAAAAAAAATCCAGAAAATCACATTGTAGGATTTTTAAAGAATTTATTTGCAAATTATGGTATATGTATGTTATTAAAAATATTATAGCAATATTTTAACAATGAGTCATTCAATCAATCACTCAAATCAATAAATAACATTTAAAACCCAATACTTCAGATAGATTAAAATATATATTAAAGTTTAGAAGAAAATAAATATAAATGTTGCAACAACTGTCGACCAACCGACTGACCAGCCGAACGTCCGACAGACAGACAGACAGAGAACAGACCAACAGACAGAGACAGACCGACAGAGACAGACTGACAGAGACAGACTGACAGAGACAGACAGAGACTGGCAGACTGACAGATAGACAGACAGACAGACAGAGACAGACTGACAGACAGACTGACAGACAGACAGACAGACAGACAGACAGAGACTGACTGACAGACAGACAGACAGAGACTGACAGACAGACAGAGACTGACAGACAGAAACAGACTGACAGACAGAAACAGACAGACAGACAGAAACAGACAGACAAACAGACAGAGACTGACTGACAGACAGAGACAGACTGACAGAGACTGACAGACAAACAGACAGAGACTTATAGACAGACAGACAGACAGTCAGACAGACAGACAGAGACTGACAAAGACTGGCAGACAGACAGACAGAGACTGACAGAGACAGACAGAGACTGACTGACAGAGACAGACAGACAGAGACTGACTGACTGACAGAGACAGACAGACAGAGACTGACTGACTGACAGAGACAGACAGACAGAGACTGACTGACTGACAGAGACAGACAGACAGAGACTGACTGACTGACAGAGACAGACAGACAGAGACTGACTGACTGACAGAGACAGACAGACAGAGACTGACTGACTGACAGAGACAGACAGACAGAGACTGACTGACTGACAGAGACAGACAGACAGAGACTGACTGACTGACAGAGACAGACAGACAGAGACTGACTGACTGACAGAGACAGACAGACAGAGACTGACTGACTGACAGAGACAGACAAACAGACAGAGACTTATAGACAGACAGACAGACAGACAGACAGTCAGACAGACAGAGACTGACAAAGACTGGCAGACAGACAGACAGAGACTGACTGACAGAGACAGACAGACAGAGACTGACTGACTGACAGAGACAGACAGACAGAGACTGACTGACTGACAGAGACAGACAAACAGACAGAGACTGACTGAGACTGACAGACAGACATACTTCATATAAATTAAGAAATATATTGAAGTTACAAAGAACAGAAAGCCATAGTTTTTACCTGTTGCTGGCCACTGGTAGAGCGATCTCAAACTTAGCCAGGAACTGGAAGTACTGTTCTTCTGTTTGCTGGGTGAATCTGGTGCCCACCAGCAGCATGCGCAGGTCCTCGGCCTTGATGACCCCATTACGGGCCACAGAGCGTGAGCCCCTCAGGTTGATGATCCGCTCCAAACACTCGGACAGCCACACAGCATCCAGGAAGTAGAGCTTACACAGGCCATGACTGGTGTCGGAGAAATGTAGCATGGTGCCAGTCTCGATGAGGAAATTGATCGCTGTGTGATTCACAAAGAAAACCGCTTTAATGCAGCTATACTCAGCCCACTGAATCCCATTTCACTTGGAAATACACCAGATTACAGAAGTCAAATGGGTTGCAAAGAAGTCAACTATATAAATTAATTTGAGGAACTGTAAATTAAATAAGATGTCTTTTTGACACAATATGTCGTTATTACGAGAAAACGTTGTTTTAACAATCTCATTATTACAAGAAAATATATTATTTAAATTACATCTCGTTATTATGACATAATTAGCCTTTTTCACACTTTCGTGTTTCTGGCTTCCGGATTGGCGCTTGCAGGGTAAAAGTTTTTTGCGGCTGTACTTAACAAGAATGAGTTTGAGAAGTCTTTTTTAGAAAATTAGAGATTATGAAAATGCTTGAACTGCCGGTACTTTACTCTACAAAGCGCAAACATTTCACAATTAACTTTTTGTGTCAGCTTGGGTCATCAAATACAAGTTTGTTTAATTCTAAATGGTGGCAGTTATAATTCAGTTTTGCCTTTCTGTCCATTTGGTGCTGGCTGTGCATTATAACTCTCCACATTCATTTTTTCGCGTTTTTATTATTATTATTATTATTAAAGTAATATTGTATTTTCTACTTGCTCTCCTTTGCATTATTAACGTGATGGTTTAAATGCACGTTGTATAATGTGCCCTGGGAAATAAATATTAAACAAGAGATGACTCGGATTCATGACTTTATTCCTATTGTATCAGATTACGTTGTTGTGTTGAGTTTAATATTCTTCAACCGGACTCAGTTAGAATTGTTTAATGTATTCTTGGAAAAAATGTGCATCTGGACATAAATGTTGTCATTTTTAAGTAAATTATCATGTGGTGATTCGAGGGAAATTACAGGGTAAATTGAGATAATATGCTCAAATGTACCGGAGATCAAAAACTATATAAAAAGGGATCTCGGAGATGGAGAATAGAAACCAACCGGCGCTATATTGAGCATATTATCTCTCGAGTCAGAGGTCTGAGTGGCCATATAAGTTACTAACAAGTAAAATGTTATTTCTTTGTAGATTATATAACAACAACTTGGAAAACAGACAAAACAGAAAAGGTAAGAAGCATTATTTGAGAAAAGGGCATACTAATATAATAGGCGCAGACCTGTAACGGAACTAACTTTACCCTGCGCTGACGTAACTTACGATTTTTGTGAAAAAGGCTAATTGAGTGGAAAAATAATATATGTGGCAGCAGTGCACCACCATAAGAAATAAACTGCAGATGCACAGATAGAAAAAATATAAATAATGACATAACTAACATGCTGGGCAATTCTTATCTGTATATAAAGATCTAGAATGTTTCACGCTATAAATTTACTAATTGAATTACATTACATTAAAATATAAAACAACTTTTTTTATTTCAGGTAGTTGCCAAGGCAACATTTCTCATTTTAATTTAGTTTAAGTTGATGTCCTAAAATAAAAAAAAAAGAAAATGAAATAAAAACATTAAAAGCTATACAGACATAATGAAAAGAAAAACTACTAAAAATGACACACACACACACAAATCACTTAAAATTTAACAAATTAAAATTGAAACAAAATTTATTAAACAATTAAAACTGATTCAAAATATTAATAAAAAAACTGAATTGGAAAAACATGAACTGCTTAATAGTGCTTAATGGAGTCAATACAATAAAAGTAAATTAATTAAATAAAAATGCAATACATATAAATACTTTTACTAAAGTTAAGAAAATAAATATAAACATGTATATTAAAGAATAAAAAAAACATACCGACATATACTGATACATTTTAAAACACATATTAGTTTTTGAAATTATTTTTATAAGCTGCACTACCTCTCTGACCAATTCAATAAATAAATAAATACTTCATATATGTTAAATATATATATATATATATAGAATATAAATTTACTAATTGAATTACATTACATTAAAATATAAAACAACTTTTTTTATTTCAGGTAGTTGCCAAGGCAACATTTCTCATTTTAATTTAGTTTAAGTTGATGTACTAAAATAATAAAAAAAAGAAAATGAAATAAAAACATTAAAAGCTATACAGACATAATGAAAAGAAAAACTACTAAAAATGACACACACACACACAAATCACTTAAAATTTAACAAATTAAAATTGAAACAAAATGTATTAAACAATTAAAACTGATTCAAAATATTAATAAAAAACAGAATTGGAAAAACATGAACTGCTTAATAGTGCTTAATGGAGTCAATACAATAAAAGTAAATTAATTAAATAAAAATGCAATACATATAAATACTTTTACTAAAGTTAAGAAAATAAATATAAACATGTATATTAAAGAATAAAAAAAACATACCGACATATACTGATACATTTTAAAACACATATTAGTTTTTGAAATTATTTTTATAAGCTGCACTACCTCTCTGACCAATTCAATAAATAAATAAATACTTCATATATGTTAAATATATATATATATATATAGAACAGAAATATAAAAATATGTATCTTCAAAATAAATATATTTTTTAAATATTTAATATATATATAAAAAAATAAAAAATAAATGATTTAATACATTTATAAATATGAATTTATTACATTTATAAATATACATCATTTATTTTTATTTTTGCATTACCCGTCTGCAGATCCTCGTAATCTTTGATATCACTGGCAGGACTCTGCTCAATGATCTGCTCCAGTTCTGAGTCCATCAGGTACTGGACCTCATCCACTTCATCTCTTCTCAGACGTTCTGCTTTTATGGCCTCCTGCAGGGTCAGGTAACTTTTGGGGATCTGTGTAAAACACCAAAAACAGACATCAACACATGGGGAAAGAAGCTAAGATAATACTGCAGCATAGCCTCCTCACGCTCATGATTTTTCTTGTATTTCTCCTGATTTTAAGTTGCTTTGAATAAAAATATCCGCTAAATGAATAAATGAAAAAACATACTGAAGATTTGCGGTGGAACAGCAGTATGTTTCATGTCAGCTTTTACATCTTACTGAATAGATGTCAGAAACAACTGTCATTCATGCCATACATACAGGCTTAACTAACACTAACCAGTCTTCCCACTAGTTTGTGACAGCTAGCAGGGTTGCTGATGTCCTTCATGGAGCAAGCGACCTGGAACAACAGCCTCCTGAGTCCGTCCATGCCTTCCAGCGTCTTACACGACACCTCACTGCCGAACAACCACACATTTTTCCACATTTTTCCATCCAAAACAGATTTTCCATTAAGGAAAGTAAGCTGAAGTTATGATAATGAGACTAACTGGAGGTGTTTCCATGTGATGTCGGGGTATCCGCTGGCCCGCGCGCCCGAGGGGGTTCTGCAAAGTGCCAGAATGTAGGCCCTCAGTGTGGCGACGCGCTCCGTACGAAACTTAGTGTCTATGAGGTCCAGATGCGTCCCAACGACGATGACAGCAGAGTTAGGAGCGCGAGCCTGGAGCACAAACACATTCAGGGTCATGCTATAAAACCAGTCCATTAAAAAAATTACTTGCACGATGAAAAGCTCATGCCAACTTTGTGTTTGGAAAGAGAGTGTTTTATGTTTGTATATGTAGTGTTTATATAGATGTTTTTCCCTTTTCGTCATTAAGGATTTTTTTTACCAGTGCCCACACCTGAATTTCCAACTTGCCTTTGCTGTATTAGCAAATATGCTCACTTTCACTCTGTACAGGCTATATTTAGATTTTAGTTGACCTTATATATATATATATATATACACACATAAAAAATAAGAACTTTATTCATTTAGTTTGCAATAGCAAAATTAACTTTGTCATCATTAAACTATTGCATGAATAAATAAATAAACAATTTGTTTAGTGTTTGTTTAGTAAATAAATAAATAATGACATGATATGTTATGATCTATGATAAGTAAATAAAATAAATAAACAAATAAATACACTTTTTAAAAATGTATTTATTTGCAATGCCAAAATGGCATTTATTATCATTAAACTATTCAATAAATAAACTTGCTAATTATTGTCAAATCAATCAGTATATAAACATTATTAATTTAGTTTGCAATGTCAAAATGATGTTCATTATTATTGAACTATTCCATGAATAATAGTTCAATACTAATGTGATGAGTGGAGGCGCGGCTGAGAGCCGTGGGAACGGAGCGAGGCCGGTGGAGTAATTGATAATGAGCGACACCTGCACCACTCACCGGTCTCGAGTCCCACGGAGGAGCTCCGGAAGGATAAAAGGAGGAGTGACGACAGTGTTGGAGGAGAGAGGACCAGGCCTGGATTTTATTTTGTGTTTTGTGGGCGGCAGTCACCCGCGAGGGGCTGCCGCTTTACTTTCATTTTGTGTTTATTTATTTTATTACTTTAAAAACTTTAATAAAATAAACCTCCTCTCCTCCAACACTGTCGTCACTCCTCCTTTTATCCTTCCGGAGCTCCTCCGTGGGACTCGAGACCGGTGAGTGGTGCAGGTGTCGCGCATTATCAATTACTCCACCGGCCTCGCTCCGTTCCCACGGCTCTCAGCCCCGCCCCCACTCGTCACAACTAAATATACATATTAACAAACAAACTTTATTAAGAGTTTCCTGACCTCGATGTTGAGCAGCCAGGACTGCAGGTTGGCCACGGCTTCCTCTCCCAAAGCCAGATTCCAGATCACCATAAACAGAGCCTTATCCGTGAAGAAACACTGGTTTACCGTCGACATGCTGGCCGGACCACCAATATCCCACACGTTGAAGGACACTGAATCAACCTGGATCCACAGAAGAAACAGGCATAACACCATATTGACAACATTACTCAATAACTTTGATAAAGGCATTTTTGGACAAATTAAAGTGAAATTAGGTGAAACTATGGTTTACTTTGTTCTATTATGAAGCTATGGAAGCTTGTTTCTGCAACGGGATAAAATAATAAAGAAGGTCATTGCGACTTTTTTATCTCACAATTGAGAATTTTTTTCTCGTCAATCTTCTTTTATCAGAATTGTGAAATACAAACTCAGAATTGCGAGACACAAACAGAATTGCGGAATACATCATGAGATAAATCATGAGATACAAAGTGAAACTGTGAAATACAAACATGGAAATTGCGAGATACAAATGTAGAATTGCGAGAAACCAATTCAGCATGGCAACAAAGTCAGTCAGAAGTCAGAATTGTGAGATAAAAAGTCACAATTACCTTTTTGTATTTTTTAATTCTGTGGCTGAAACGGCTTCCAAATGAAAACTTAAAATAAAATATGAAATAAAAATACTTTCATTGTAAAGAAATGCAACTTTGAGGGTGAGTAAATAATGACAGAATCTTAATTTGGGGGTGAACCTTTCTTTTAAACAACCATAAACATTACTCAAGCAAATCTTAAAAAGCACACACACACAAAAAAGGCTCTCGCTGTGAGTCAGCGGTGGAGTAAGTGTTCACAGCTGCTCGACGTGGAGCAAGATCTCCTGGGCTTGTGTATACATTTGCTTCTGTCCATGATATACGTGTAAGAGGTCAGTCTGAGTGTGTGTATGTTTATGAGAACAGGCCTATAGGACATCAGTGCATGTGTGTGTGTGTGTGTGTGTGTGTGTGTGAAACACTCTCTTGGGTTTTATACGTCTGGCTATGACTCAGGACTCATGATGAGAATGGAAACACTGTTAACTCATGCTAAAAAAACATGTAAGGCCACAAATGGAGCTCAGGGTCAAAGGTCAGCTGGAAATACCAGAGCTGCTACTCATTCATAAACCCGGAGGTCAAAATGTTGGCACTTTAATGGTTTCGCTTTTTTTTTCTCAGACTTGCTCTAAAGGTTTTTATCCTGCCTTACTTTTGTCTGGTCATTTTTACAGGGTTAAAGCAAACATAGCTGTTCGCTTCCCGTGAGCAAAGCATTGTGGGACAAACCCATCTGAAGGAACGCCCTGAAAACAATCAGATAGACTGGCAATTCAGTAAAAGCTCAAACGATGAAGTCACACACATAATATGACTTCATTTGTCCACTGTGTGTTTCAGTTGCTTTCCTCACCAATACACAGAAATATACTGACTGTTATGGCAGCAAAGTTATGAATCTACTATGAAACTCATGACTTTTAATAATTGTTGAATTGCTACGTGAGTAACTGTCAATCCTAAATTTATAGTTTGAATATTTATGTAAAGATTGAGCTAGATATGGATTTATTGCTAAATGTATGATTTATAGATGTTATATTTAAAATATGCATCTAAATTTACATATTTTTAAATGTAATTTTTACATTTAGTTGTATTTTTCAAAATATACGTATGTACAATATATTTAAGATTTACATTTACATATGCATTTTTGATTTTACAAGTAACATTTACATATTATGCATTCTGCTAAATGCATAAATATTTGATAAATTTCTCAGAAAACAAGACTTCGTATCTTCATTTTGCATCTCAAGTAAATGATTTTAAGTAAATGATCTTTTTTCAAGTATGTTTAGACATCCTTAAGATATCCTTAGATATAGGCTATAATTTGTGGAAGGACAAATTAAGACTTTTTAAGACCCACAGAACCCTGATATGTGTGTGTGTGTGTGTGTGTGTGTGGACTGAGGGCTCTTACAGCAGATTTCACTCCTCCGGGTCGCTCCAGATCCCAGCCGGACGTGTGGATGCTGCGGTCAGTGTTGATGAAGGATGAGGGTTTGCTCGTCTGCAGCCCCTCCAGCAGAGCGCTCTTCCCCTGCCGTGGAGGACCCACCACCATCAGCTTCAGCAGTCTGCAAGGCTCTGCTCCTCGCAGCTCCGCTCGCAGATACGCCAGAACCGCAGCCGGACCTGCACACGCACACAAGTCAATCGCTGCATCCGGATATGCCTACTTGTAAATGTCTGAATTCACAGCATTTGAAAAACTGTAGGAAAAGTACCCGGATGACCTACTGCTTCCAGTGAGATTCTGAGGTTTCATCTGAATTTCATTCATACTACCCATACTCATACTATATGTGACTCTGGACCACAAAACTAGTCACAAGGGTCAATTTTTTGAAATTGAGATTTATATATCATCTGAATAAATAAGCTTTCCATTGATAATACAATGACAATATTTGGTCGAGATACAACTATTTGAAAATCTGGAATCTGAGGGTGCAAAAAAATCTAAATACTGAGAAAATCGCCTTTAAAGTTGTCCAAATGAAGTTCTTAGCAATGCATATTACTAATCAATAATTACGTTTTGATATATTTACGGTAGGAAATTGACAAAATATCTTCATGGAACATGATCTTTACTTAATATTCTAATGATTTTTAGCATAAAAGAAAAATCAATAATTTTGACCCATACAATGCATTTTTGGCTATTGCTACAAATATCCCCCAGCGACTCAAGACTGCTTTTGTGCTCCAGGATCACATATAGTATGTACATTTTAACGGTTGTGAAGTATCAAACCAAATATAGAACCTACTGGACAGTATGCGAGGTCAGACGCAACTAATGTCTCCATCACTACACTACATATTCCTTATTACTTATAGTGGCATATTTATCTTTATTTTTTTATCTTTGTTTTTTATCTTTAATTAAATAGTTTAATTCTTAAAAGACTTCATTTATTTCTTTTTCGGTTCCATTTGTTAACATAGTTAACATGATCTAACAATCAAAAAATGCTCCTTAAGCATTTATTAAAATTTACATTACATTATTAAAAATCAAAAGTCGCATCTGTTAATATTATGTTAATAATAATAATAGCATTTTTCTAACGTTAACAAAGATTATTAAACACATGTAACAAATGTATTAATGTATTATCTAAGCCTCGTACACACCAGGACGATTCTCACGCGCGCTTATCGCCAGCGTTTTTCGACGCATCTTTGTGTTCATACCCAAGCGATTTTCGCTGGCGATGAGCCGCGTGAACGTGCAAATTCACTCCCTGACATTAGATGGCGCTTCATGAAAAACAGAAATACACATTGAATCTTATTTGATCTGCAATTCCTCTCCATAACAACTCTCTCTTATCGAGATTTTTGTAGTCACTGTCGCGTTTGTCATAAAGCTCTTTGTGTTCAGACACCAATGAGACCAGCAGCTCTACATTCATCTTGCCTCGATGCATCTTCTTGGTCTACTTACTTCCTCTTCGTCATTAGGTATCAATGTGTGCTCGGCAAGACCGTTTTGTGCTTGAGCGTCACCAAGTCGTGTTTTACGGTAACTTCAGCAGCTCCAGGCATGTGAACAAAAGCGCCAATCTCATTGGTCAGCGAGTTTTTAACGCGCCGCGTCAAACCAAAAAAACGAGCCCTAGGCAGTTTTTAAAAAATGCCACTTTTACGCCTCGCGTTTTGCGCATCGGTGTGCACACTCACATTGGCGCCCTTTGTTTAGTCACGAGGTGTTAAACGTCGCGCGATATTCGTCCCGGTGTGAACAAGCCTTTAAGGTTAACTAATGGGACCTGATTGTAAAGTATGAACTTTTTTTGGTTAAAGTTTTCCTTTACTTGGCTTTAAACTCCATTTTGATTCATTATTTCTTTCTTAATTGTTTTAAAATTAGTTTATTGCAACTTTACTCAGCACATGTTACTCTTTATATTTAGCCT